CATCCCTCTCTTTGGATCCTGTGTCTTCCTTATTTTACATCTGACTATATAACCACACTCCATACCTTTATTTAAATGATTCCATCCCCCAGGATTGTCCCCTGAACTACTCACCAAAGTTCCCTGTGTCCAGGTCCCTGTTTGGGTACCAACTGCCACCCAGCGAGGGGTGATGGGGATTAAGAAAAGACAAACATTTAGAGAGAAAGGTGGCTTCAGGTGGGAAGCTGCCCTCTGGTTGAGAACAATGATCCAGAGCTGGCTGTACACATTTATTGTATGGTTTTATCATCAGAAGGTTGATTGTGAGAAAGTTTCTGGAAACAACAGGCAGGTTTGAAGGTTACAGCACGGCAAAACATGGTTACCATGCTGTGTTCAGAATCCTCTGTTCTTAGAAGCCAGTGTCTGTGACTCAAGGTTAAAACTGGCATTTCTGGATATTTTCCCAGAGAGACCAAGGGCCAGCATTGCCATAGCAACTGGGAAATGTTAACCCTGTACTTGTGCACAGGGAAATGTTCACCCTATATTTTCATATGGAGGAATACTAGCACAAGCGCACCACAACCACAAGTTAGTCAGACACCTTGACTCAGCACCACACCCCATACTCAATTTGATCCTTGTGCTGTGAAACCCTTTTGAGGAGAGCATTTGGCAAACACCTATCTCACAGCAGGTGGGTTTCTTGGCATATTTTAGCCACTGTCTTTTTTAAGATATGGTTGATGGTTTCTGTTTTCCTACAGATTGGGATCTCCAGAATACATATTTCCATTATATATGCAATATTTTGCTCACTCATAGGTCAGTTCTGCAATGAAAGATAGTCCCTGTTAGTTTGTATTGAGGGGAGCCCATAACTTGGGATCAGCTCCTTTAAGAGGACTCTAGTTTTCTGAAGTCTTTTCTGTTCTAGTAGAATCAGCCTGACTCACAGAGAAGATATCTATGGGTACAAGCAAATATTTATAAGTTCCTATGAATGGGCATTTGGGTAAAGTATGCTTGTCAGTCATCAGAAGGATATGTTTTTATACCCTAAGTGTGTATTAGACTTTGAATTGTTTGAGTGCAGAAGACACAGTTCTGAATCACTTGCTGAACAGTCCACTGGAGGCGTGGCCCTCACAAGTGGGCTTGATGAAACTGACACCCTTCCCCTAGTAGCACTCTCCTTGGAGTGTTTGATCAAGAACAGAGGGTGCTTCAGGAAGAAGGGTGAGCCTATGCGATTTCTGTCTGCACCTGGCACTGTTGTCCCAAAGTCCCAACTCCATTATTTGCCCCTTTTCTCATTATCCTCAGTATAAACAGATTTGGAATTGGTTTGCTACAAGCTGAGGTGCTAGGGCCCTGATAAAGGAGTTTGTCCTTCCTAACACTTTTGACTGCCCTGTCAGCAGCCTGATTTCTCCTGGCCACACAGGTATCAGTTGTCTCAAGGCAGGATAGTGCACGATTACCACCTGCTATGGGGTGGACACAGCCTGTATTATTAACAATATTTTCAAGGGCAGCCTTAGTGTCCTTTTCTCAGCTGTGAGGAGTGCTCTTTCCAGGTGTCTCCATGTGCATGTAGCATCTTGGAGGCATGTTTTGAGTCAGTGTAAATGCTTACCTTCTTTCCTTTGGTCAGTCAGAGCTCATGTGAGAGAACTTAGCTTGGTTTTCTGGGCTGATGTTGGTAGCAGCAGAGTCATGTGCCATGACTGCAGAATACCCAGATATCCACTGGCCATTGCCTATGAACTTGCTTTCATTGGTGAAGACCCTTCAGTCTGGCTCAGCTAATCAATCAAAAGTCCAACTTGCCAAAGAGTCTCCAAGCTTTCTGAGCAGTCACATTGTATTGGTCCATTGTCATCTGCTGGCAACAGGTTTGTTTGATTTAAGGTGACACAGTTTCTCTTGAAGTTGACATTTAGATTGTCGAAAAGGACGGCCTGAAATCTCCCTACCCTCCCAGCAGTCAGCTGACACCCATCCTTCTGTTTTAGTAGGATAGGACTTGGTGAGCAACAAACCCAGTGATGGATTGTCCGAGTGGGTTTCTCAGCCTCTTATGGTAAATCACTGACTTCAGTCATACCCCACAGGACCCTCCTTTCATGGTGTGGTCAAGCTGTTCCCACACACAGGCTACTGGTTGCAGTATACCTCCAGTGTATGTAAGAGAACTTCAACATCTGTACCTTGTTTCTCATTCACATAGAGTCTTAACACCTTCTGTGAGTCAGGCAGGCCTAGGGCAGGGGCTCTCATGAGACTTTGTTTTAACTTCTCAAAGGCAGCTTGGCCTTCTGTGTACAGTGGAATGTTTTATTTGTTCCTTTTAAGGCCTCATGCAGGAGTTTACCTACGAGCCCAAAATTAGCGACCCAAATATGCAGTGCTGTGACCAAAATTCCCAACAAGAACAATTTTAGAGGAGGAGAAGTTTATTTCAGGGTTCCTGGGTTCAGAGGCCTCAGTCCATAGGTAGCTGACTCCATTCCTCAGGGCCTGGGCTGAGGCAGAACATTGTGGCAGAAGACTGGTGGAGGAAAGCAACTGGGAACATGGTACCAGGGAGCAGAGAGCTCAACAAGGAAAAAATATAAACCCCAAAGGTGTGTCTCCAGGGACCCCCCTCCTCCAGCCACACCCTGACTGCCTACAGTTACCATGCTGCAGCTGTCAGGGGTTAATACACTGACTAGGTAAGACTGTCATAACCCAGTCACTTCATGTCTGAACTTTGCATTGTCTCACATGAACTTTTGGGGGACACGAAATATCTAAATCATAACACTGACATTTCCAGGAACCCATGAACCTGTCTCTGGTTTCTGACTTCTATAAGGCTTAAGCTAGCCTGCTTCTGATCCGACATCAAGATTCAGGTTATTGGCTAATCTGGAATCCTGGGTAGGTGACTTGTTTACAAAATAAGCCACTTTAGTAGACATCTCATATCCACATGAGGTGCAGTGGTTTAGCTCAGCAATAGTATTTGAAAATCAGAATTCATAGTTGGGGGTTGGCTGTAAGCAGGTCATCTTCATATTGTGAAAGGATTCCTTTATCCAGCTATGACTCTCACAGCTGACACTTTAAGACTTTCATTAAACAGTACAAAAGATTTTTAAATCCCTGAGATAAGATACTCCAGCAATCCTGGATGATTATTTTTTATTGAAGTCCTGTCACTCAAAAGCAAACAGTGATTAGGGATTCCTTTTCAGAGTATTGCAAAAGAACCCCTCTTTTAAATCTAGCCCTTTGAACCAGACACAGTTACCTGACATCACCATTAGTAAGGTGTATGGATTAGGTACTGTGTGGCTGAATATCAGAAATGATGTAATTTATAGCTCTCAGGTCTTGCCTAAGTAAGTATTCATCAGTGTGTGTGTGTGTTTTATTAAACAGCTAGGATTGCGGTATTACAGGGTATTTGGCAAAACTAACCAAATCCATCTTTTAAGAACTTGTCTGCAATAGGCTTCAGATCCTTATTAATGCTTCCCTCTTGAGAATGTATTGTTTCTTCTAAGGGCAGTTTACCACCTCTTTAAACAAAATCATCTTTGTAATGACATTAATCAGCTTTCTCAGAGTCTCTTTGACCCACAGAGAGTTATTTACTTTTTTTGCTTTGGTGCCAGGGATTGAGCCCATGACCACTTAACCACTGACCACATATTGTTGTTGGTTTTTTTTTTAATTTTGGGAAAAAAAAATTGGGACAGTCTCACTATGTTGCTTAGGGCCTTGCTAAGTTGCTGGACCTAGCTTTGAACTTGGAATCCTCCTGCCTCAGCCTCTCACCCTCCCAAGCTGCTGGGATTATAGGCATGTTCCATCATGCCTGAGTCAATAGAGTGTTTAAAAAAAAGGGGGGGGTCTATTACACATTGATTTATAAGTTTTTAAAAAATTGAGTATATTTTCATCTATATGAAAATTTATTGTTTTAATGTATAAAAAGTTGACATTTTTGTCTTTGTACATAAAATATAAATATCATTTGATCAATTTTGTTAACAGGTTTTTACTGTGCTCATTTATAACAACAGCCTTGCTCTGAAAATTCTTTTAACATTCACACTTTCTTTTGACCTTACTATTCTTTTCTTCTGAATTTCAGATCAAATAAACTTGGGTAAAAATCAAACCCTGCCTTTTACTGAGTACTTCATAAAATGTTATAAAAGATAAATACTCTTTAAAAATTTTTTTAATATTTATTTTTTAGTTGTAGTTGGACACTATCTTTATTTCACTTATTTATTTTTATGTGTTGCTGAGGATCGAACCCAGGGTCCCACACATGCGAGGCAAGCACTCTACCACTGAGCCACAACCCCAGCCTGATGAATACTCTTAATATCTCATTATTTGGGATGTTACGGATTAAGATATGAAAAACCCTTAAGGTGATTTGTACACATTTGAAATGATCAAAAGGATTGTTGTTGCTGTTTGCTATTTTATTAACACACATAAATCTCATAAAATATTTGAAGTAAGACTCATCAGTGAATGTTTTCTTCAGTGGTCTGCCTCTTGGCAATTCAAAGTTTATCTTGTATGGCTATTACTGGAATCACTTGAGAGCTTACTGCATATTCAGAAAACCAGGCTCCATCTCAGAACTACTGACTCAGAGTCTTGTTTTAATAAATTTGATTTATTATTGTACAATTACAATTTGAGAATTACCCTTCTAAATCCCATAACACTCTCACATGAAAAATATACACAATTTATTCTGATATATAACATAACAAAATGTATACACTTGTTGTGATGCTTACTTACTTCACTTTTTCCTCAGAGTTAGATTATATATAGGATCATTGTATTCAAAAGTATCTTATTATATAATGGAAGTCCCTCACCTACAAGAGAGCCATTTCTTCTAGATCTCATTTCAACTTCAGTTAAATATTAAAAACTCTGTGAATGACTTTGTGGTCAATGTGCAATTTATATGCCAATTTTCATTCCAGGAACTGATGACATTCAGGGATGTGGCCGTTGATTTCTCTGAAGAGAAGTGGAAATGCCTGGATCCTGCTCAGCAAAATTTATATAGAGATGTGATGTTAGAGAACTACAGAAACCTGGTCTTCCTGGGTGAGGATTCCTTCCCTTCAGAATTCCTAATTATTTTCAATATTTAATTCCCTTTCCTTGCAGAGTATCTTTTGAGGTATTTTCTGTAAGAATGAGTTTCGCATTTGTAGTTTCAAGAAAAAAAGGGCATTTTGGGGTACAGATAGAATATTAGTTACATTTCTTTTAGTCTTTAATCTCTCCCTTTCTTGGTGTGACATAGTACTCTAGATAAGTGGTATTTAGAGTAATTCAGTGATGTTAAATATTGTGACCTACACATAGCAGAGGACACAGTTAAGAGGCCCAAAGGTCAAGGAGGAAGCCAGATTCAAACTGTTGATTGAGAAGTTATCCCAGCAGAGAAGATATTTCAGATGCTTAGGTTTCTTCCTGTTGTTATCATAGAAGAACATGTACTGCCCTGTCTGTCATGCTTTCATATTCAGTAAAGCCTCCTGATTGTCCTCCAGTGAGGTCACAGTTCATCCCAGTTACCAACCACAACACTTCCCTTTGCTTGTGAGGGTCAGCAGGATCTGACAGCTCTTCCATGATGTTCAGGTCTCTAGGAAAGCTGGGCATGTTTCCAGAGACCTTCAGGTCAAACCATTGTAAAATATTAATATCATCAATCAGTTTCTCTGACATTACTTATATATTTATTCATTAAAATTCCCTGGTCAGAGCTCTTTCTTTATATCTATAAAGGATTTCCTCGGAAATTTTCTGCCACGTAATGTCAAGATTCACAATGGCTGCTCTGTTTGGTCTACAGTCACAAGGTGTAAATTGCACTTATACACAAGGGTTTGTAAAATAATGCATCTGTGGTTATTTACAATTTTGTTGGTTAAATTTTTTTTCCCTCTCATTTTGTAGAGTAGGTTTTGTGTTGTAGAGTAGGTTTCCTTACATCAGTTAATAGTGTTATATTTTGTGATTAGATGACAATTTTCATTACTTCACAAATTAGGACAATGTAAATTGAAATTAAGCTATGCATGAACCTTGTTTCTGTTACCAATAAAATTTACATGTGCTTTTACTTGTATAAATATTACACCTGTATTTTTAATGACTTTTATATTTTATCTGGATTGGTTTTTCACCTGCCAATGTATATAGTGATGGAAGTTTCCTATGTGTGAATGTGATGGAGATTTAATTCAGGGGTGCTCTAATAATGAGCTACATCTCCAGCCTCTCTTTATTTATATTTGGAGAGAGGACCTCACTAAATTATCATGGATGGCTTTGAACTTAAAATCCTCCAGCCTCAGAATTGCTAGTAGCTGGGATTACGTACATTCCCATCATTTATATATTGTTGAGTTTGTTCTTATTTATAGGAAAAAGACCATAGCATTTTCATGGTAGCTTTCAAAAATTTTGTAGTTCTGTTTATCAATTTATGTTGTTTGATATTTTAATTTTGATCAAAAACAAAAAAACAAAACTTGTTTTCTCCAACATTTCAAGTTTACTGTTCAGCAGTGTTAATTCAATTGTTATGCAGTGTATCTCCTGAAAGTTTCCCTATCAGAAAGCTAAAAAATCAATTCCTATATAAACAAGGCCTCATTTCTGTGTCCCCCATCACAAACACCATTCTCATTTCTGTTCAGAAGGAATTATTTTGTTTTGTTTTTAGTTTATATATCTCATATTAATATAATTCTGCAAAAATTGTCTGTTAGTGACTTATTTCAATTAACATAATGTACTCAAGATTTATCCTCATTATAGATTTTAGAAAATTTCTTACCTTTTTTGACTTAAAAATATTCTATGCTTTTTGTATTCCATATTGCCTCATCCACTCATTTCAAGGAATATTTGGGTTGCTTCCACATGATGGCTCTGTTGAATGATATTGTAACAAACGTTGCTGTGCAAATGTCTCCGTTTGCCATAAATGTGAAAGAATTCTTTATGCCCATTTTTCTAACTTGATTTCAATATTAACTATTGAATCTGGTAGCTTTTAATATATTTTTAAGTCATGAAACAACAGTCTTCCAATTTTATTTGTATTTTGAATATTTTTGAAGTAATCACACAATTTTGAGTTGCCAGACAATTTCTAGAATAGCTTTTTCTGTTTCTGCAAAAAGTAACATTGGGAATATGATAGATATTATATGGACTTTCCAGATATTGTTGAGTAATACAAACATCTTTCACTTTTATCTTTCAGTTCTTGAACAAGGCCAGTTCAAGAGTATTTAATCCAATCTATTAACCTTTGTTTCATTCCCTACAAGTTGGTCCATTTCCTAGTGGAATATTGAGTACATACGTCAAATTGGTTTAAAATGTCTTTCAAAGTCTTCTGTTTTGTGATTAACATTTTATTGGACTTTTCCTTTACAAAAAATGGGGATTGGTGTCTCCTAATATTACAGTGTTGCTTTCTATTTCTTCATTCACTTCTCTCCATCTTACCTTTTTATATCAGGGAAATGTGATGTGAGTTGAAAGTCTATCTAGTCTTATTTTGGTATCCTAGGGAAAGGTTTCTTTTATCTTTGTATAATATTCTACTTTGCCTCTTTTCAAAGTTTTTTTAAGTTAAATTCTATTTTATCTCTTATAACTTTTTGTTTTAAGCTACATTTTGCATATCATCACTTGTGGCCCGGCTTTCTTGTGGTCATATTCTCATATTCATATTTTCATATTCTTTTGCTTTCAGTCTACTTATGTCCTAGATTTAGAGTTTCCTGTAGATTACATACCATTGTGTCTTAGTCAAGCTTTTTGTTTTGATTAGTGTTTGGTAATAATGCATTCATAATCAAGTAAATTTCTACAAATGAAGAACCCATTCTTCCTACTTTGTAAGCTGTTTTCTGTATTTCTTATGATTGTTCTACTGTGTGTGTGTTTGTGTGTGTGTGTGTGTGGTGTGCTGGGGAGTGAACCCAGGGCCTTGTGCTTGTGAGGCAAGCACCTACCACCAAGCTCCACCCCAGCTCCTCCCACTTCTCTTAATGGTCCAATTTGTGGTTCCTTGCTTTTCATGGTGACAAGCTTTCATTCCTCCCCCACTTATGTTTACACTTTCTATGGGAATTTATTCTCTCATTTTCAGTGAGACTTTATAAAGTTTGCTGTAAGTTCACACTATATTTTAAACTGGTAACAAATTAACTTCATTATAAAATTCGGCATGTTAATATATTCATTCAAAATTATGTTGTTGAAGATTTTGTACTGCATTCCCATTTAAAGTTTATGTTGATTTTTACGATTTTGTCTTTGAAATTCTGTTTCAAAATTAATTTATAACCCATTATTAACAGTAAAATAGAATTGTATGTGACTTTTTTTTCTGCCAAGAAAACTGTATTCTTTTCTTTATGAGTTGTGGTGTTGTGCAGATTTATTGTTCACTATGAAAAATTCCCTTAGTGTTTTTGGAGGACAGCTCTAGTGGTGGTGAACTTTTGAGCATTTTAGTATTTTAAAATCTTTTATTTATTGATTTATTTTTCACTTTTGAAAGATAGTATTTCTGGATACAGTATTCGTGGTTGGTAATTTTAAATCTTTTACCCATTTGGCAATATCCCCATTCCTTTCTGCCATGTAAATTTCCCTTTTTAATTGATGCATCTTTTTCTCTGTGCTCTTCAGATTCTCTTGAATTTTTAAACTTTGATTAAATCATTCTTTGAGTCTTTCTGTTTGTCCTACTTTGAGATAACTGAGCTTCTTGGATCTTTATTTGTTTTATTTATAGTATTCATAATTGTTGACTTTCTTGTTGGTACTGGGGATGGAACTTAGTGGTGCTCTACCACTCAGTTACATAATGCAGCCGTCTTCATGTTGTAAAGTTTTTGACAGACAGTACATTGCTGAGGCTGCCCTCCTGGTTTAGCCTCTCAGATTGCTAGAATCAGTTGTGCACAACCACCCGTGACTCTCTCAGACAGTCTTTTAAAAGAATTCTTCACATACACAATTTCTGCTTATTTCTCTTAACAAGTTTTTTTCTGAATTTTATTTAGTTTTCTGTGTTCCTGGTTCGGTCACTTTACTTTTTCAAATGGGGAGTAGTATCTTTCAGTAATTAATGACTCCCACTTTCCTCATGTTTAATTCTTAATATTTTGTTACCTAGGTTAAGCCATCTTTGTTTTTATGTGCTATACTATTTTAATTGATTTATCCATTTAAAAACCAGTAAATAGTAAATTATACATTCATTTTTGTAAATAGTATGGAAGTATATAAAGAAATTAAAAATAGGCAAGCACAGTGCTACATGCTTGTAATCCCAGCTAATTAGGAAATCATGCAAAAGGATTTCAAATTCAAGGCAAATCACAGCAACTTAGTGAAACCATGTCCCAAATGATTTTTAAAAGGTTTCTGTTGTAGCTCAGCAATGCAGGACCCATGGCCTTAATCCCAAGCTCCACACATATTAAAACATTAACAAAAGAATGACCCTGTTATCGAGAAATGCAGGTATTAAATATATATCCACAAAAGAAATAAATCAGCATGTTGAGGAGATACCTCCACTACCATGTTCACTGCAAGCATTGTTCACAATACTGAAACATGGACTTATGTTCTGTGCCCATCAATGACTGAATGAGAAAAACTATGGTATTTATACATGATTACTATTTAGCCATAAAAAAGAGATACTTCATCATTTCAACTGACCTTGAATGAATATTCAGGATTTTGCATTATATTAAATAAGGCAGACAAAGAAAATCAGCTGAAGGAGCATCTGACTCACAGGTGGAAGTCAGAAATGCAGAGAATAAAATCGTGGTCACCAGGTACTGGATTTTGTGGACTATTGGCACAGTGTTGGTCAAGCTCTACACTTTTTTTTTTTCTAAGTGGACACAATGCCATTATTTTTACTTATATATGGTGCTGAGGATCAAACCCAGTGCCTCACCTGCTGTACAAAAGCACTCTACCTTTGAGCCACAACCCCAGCCTCTACACTTTTTTTTAAATTGGACAATCAGGTCAATAGTTGTAGTTGTATTTTACCACATGGTGAGTGTGGTGTGCTATACTCTTGTTAAATACTAATTGAATGAATGCAATGCTTTCTAAGCATAAGACTGATAATTTTATGGAATAATACATGCATTAATTCACTAGGATTAGTCATTTTACCATGTACATGTACTTTATAATACATGATATACTTAGTATATACACAAAATTTAACTTATCAATGAAATAAGTCTACAAATAACAAAAATTTAAAAACATGAAATACAAGTCCTGTGTCTTGATCACCCTGTATTGGCTTCATCCAGGTAATGTGGTCATAGGCTGTGCTAGGTTTTTATTGCCTCTCATGCTTTTTAATGGTGAATCTCTTTTGAAGCGTGTGTGTGTATATTTTCAACTTATAATTTAGTTCATGTTTCTTTTTCAGAGTCCATAGGCTCTTTGCCCCTGTTGACCATCTCTATGGTATTGTCATCCAAAATCTATCTCTTCAAGTCTTTATGCCATGACAGACAGAAACTAGTTTTCAGACAGTATCTAAGAAAGCCGCAAATGTTTGTATGTGCTTCATATTTCCCTTAAACTACTGAGATTGAAGGGAGTCGGTAGATTTTATTCTAATTGCATAATGCTATATTATGGAGGAGGGTAGAGTGTGATTGATAAAAGGAACATAGTTTTCTTCCCTTTGCTATATTCCTCTCCTTAGTAGAGTTCTCATCTTGGATCCTGTGTTCTCTAAGGTGGCTTGGGCAGTTCTCACAAAGTAATTTTGTCTGAACATTTTTATTTAGTCTGCATATTTCTGGAATAATGATGGTCTTGGATTTACTGCTGATATCCTGACATGTGTATAATTTTATATTCATTCAGTCCAGTAAGTAAAATGATTGTTATTTTTATTTATTTCAGCCATGACTTCTCATCATACCCATGAATCTCCACCAAAGCAGGAAATAAAATATTTGTTTCAAAAAATGATGAATGGAAGGTATGGAAATTGTGACTTTGACTATTTACATCTAAGAAAAATGTGGGAAACTACAAGTGAGAATGAAGGTCAGAAATCATATTACAAGGGACAAAACCAATTAGCAGTGACTATTCATAATGAAAACTTCACTGCCAACAGCCATCAAGAACATTTAATACTCAAAAGAATTCAATTTATGCCAGTTTCTTTTGAGGAACTATAAATGTCTTTTTAAGAATATATCCAGAGCAGTTTTGAAGCATATATTTCCTCTGAAAGGAAATGTGGAAAATCTGAAAAGAGATCTATTCCATGCTTCAGTTTTTAACTTGACCCTTTTCAAATGTAGCATTGAGTTAAACTTCTAGTCAAATGTTTGTATAGACAAGATATTAAAAGTGAGGAGGACACAATGGGTGGGAAGCTAGTGAAGAATAGAGCTACTTGGGTCAGACAGAGGGACGGAAAAGAGGGAGAGGATATGGGGTAGAGAAAGTAAAATTAGACATTATTACTCTATTTGCATATATTATCATATGACTGATGTAACTATATAGTGTATAACCAGAAAGATGACAAGTTATGCTCCATTTATGTATGATGTGTCAAAATGCATTCTACTGTCATGTACAACAATTGGAACAAATTTTAAAACATTAAGGACAAGTTCTGAAGGTGATCTTTTGAGAGTTCCTTTACACAATGTCCATTATCCTGCAATAAAGTAATAATTCCTCCTTGTGCTCAAACATACAATTTTAATTCTTTTAGGGAGTCCTTACTTACCCACTATTGCTTAATGAAAATTCAGATACAGATTTATGAAAAGTATCTCCATATGTAATGAAACAAGTAACACCTTTAGCTAGGTCTCAGTCCTGATTACCAGTGTGCTTTTATTAGTGATAAAAATTATGAATATAGAGTAACTTATAAAAACCTTAGTATTGGTTGCAGTGCCAGAAATCATGAATATTAATATGTTCACTTTTCAAAGAACATTTATTAACAATGTGGGAAAGCCTTACTTCAGTGCTCAAAATTTACTCCCATCCAAATATTCATAGGCAAAACAAGCCTTGTGAGTGTAAGGTGTATGAAGGATCTCTTCATCAAATTGCAAAACTTACTCTATAGAAGAGAATTTATACTGGAAAGGATTCTTATGAGCTTAAAGAATATATCAAAAAAATATTTTTAATTAAATAAAATTATAAATATAAAGAAGAGAAGGTATAAAAGAATTTCATTGTTCAACCCTTTCTAAACCCCACAGATACCACGACAGTGATAAACCCTACAAGTTTAAAGAATGTACCAAAATTCTTAATCAAAGATCACCTTCTGTTAAACATGTGAGGATTTATGCTGGAAAGAAGCCTTGTGAATCTAAAGAAAGTGGCAGAGCCATTAACAGTTGCTCAACTTCTTCTAAACATCTCAAGCAGCATAGCAGTGACAAAATAAAAAGCTCACTTGATACTCAACACCTGATAATATCTTCTGCAGGCAGATCCTACAAATATGAAGAATGTGCCAAGGTCTTAAAAAATTTTTCAATCCTTACTCAACACCAGAGTACTCATACTGGAGAGAAGCCCTACAAATGTGAAGAATGTGACAAAGGTTTTAATCAAAGACCATTGTTTACTGACCACCAGATAATTCATACTGGAGAAAAGCCCTATAAATGTAAAGAATGTGGCAAAAGTTTTAATCAAAGATCATATCTTAAAGATCACCAGAAAATTCATACTGGAGAGAAGCCCCACAAATGTACAGAATGTGACAAAGCTTTTGTTCACAAATCACTGCTTACTCGACACCAGAGAATGCATACTGGAGAGAAGCCCTACAGTTGTGAAGAATGTGGCAAAGGTTTTGTTCAAAAATCACTGCTTACTCAACACCATGGAATTCATACTGGAGAGAAGCCCTACAAGTGTGGAGAATGTGGCAAAGGTTTTTATTACAAATCAAACCTTACTCAACACCAAGGAATTCATACTGGAAAGAAGCCCTACAAATGTGGAGAATGTGGCAAAGGTTTTAAACAAAGATCATCCTTGAAAGATCACCAGGGTATTCATACTGGAGAGAAGCACTACAAATGTGAAGAATGTGGCAAAAGTTTTTATTACAGGTCAAACCTTACACAACATCAAAGAATTCATACTAAAAAGAAGCCCTACAAATGTGAACAATGTGGCAAAGTTTTTGAGCAAAGATTATATTTTAAAGAGCACCAGAGAATTCATACTGGAGAGAAGCCTTACAAATGTCAAGAATGTGGAAAAGCTTTTAAACGAACAGATAATCTTTCTCTCCACCAGAGAATTCATACTGGAGAGAAGCCCTACAAGTGTGAAGAATGTGGCAGAGCTTTTGTTCATAAATCACTGCTTACTCAACACCAGAGACTTCATACTGGAGAAAAGCCCTATAATTGTAAAGAATGTGGCAAAGCTTTTGTCAAAAAGAACATCTTATTTGCCACCAGAGAATTCATACTGGAGAGAAGCCCTACAAATGTGAACAATGTGGCAAAGATTTTAATACAAAATCATTGCTTACTGAACACCAGAGAATTCATACTGGAGAGCGGCCCTACAAATGTGAACAATGTGGCAAAGCTTTTGTTAAAAAATCGCCACTTACTCGACACCTGAGGACCCATACTGGAGAGAAGCCCTATAGATGTGAAGAATGTGGCAAAGATTTTAAGCAAATATCAGCTCTTAAAGGACACCAGAGAATCCATACAGGACAGAAGCCCTATGCATGTGAAGAATGTGGCAAAGCTTTTTATGACAGATCAAATCTTGGTCAACACCAGAGAATTCACACTGGAGAGAAGCCCTACACGTGTGCGCAGTGTGGCAGAGCTTTTGCTCACAAGTCACTGCTTACTCGACACCAGAGAATTCACACAGGAGAGAGGCCTTATAGTTGTCAAGAATGTGGTAAAGCTTTTAGTCAAAAAGAAAAGCTTATTTACCATCGAAGACTTCATACTGGAGAGAAGCCCTACACATGTGAAAAATGTGGACAGGCTTTTATTCAAAAATCACAGCTTACTCAACACCAGAGAATTCATAGTGAAAAGAATTCCTACACTTGTGAAGAATGCGGCAAAGGGTTTTATCACAGATCAAGCCTTACTCAACACCAAAGAATTCATACTGGAAAGAAGCCCTACAAATGAAACATTCTCCCAATGCTTCAAAGGATGGTTCAACCTTTATTCTACACAGGAGGAATCAACAGAGAGAAATAGAAATATTAAAAAAGTGGCAAAGTTTCCAACAGTTGTTCATTCACACCATATTCAGCCCCTGAGAATTCATACTTTTGAAAGAGAATACAAGTGAAAAAATATCACAAGGCTTTTAGCCATTGTTCAAATATACTAAAAACTGGAGGATTCATAATGCATTGAAACCCTAAAAAATGTAAGTAGTGTGTACACGCCTTTAATCAAATTTCAAACTTTCTTTAAAATATGAAACCTCATATCTGTAGTGAATGTGGAATGACATTTGTCCAAAATATATTCCTTAGATAACAGGAAATATTTAAAGTTAAGAAAAATCCATTCAAAAATAAATATATACTAGAGTCCCTATCTATACATATCTTCATGTATATGAGGGTAATTGAGAGTTATCACTTTAATAAAGAAAATGGGTAATTGACTTTAACTTTTCCAAAATTTACTAAACATCATTAGCTGACGTGTTAGAAATAATGAAATCCTCACAGAAATAGTATAGTTTTGATAGAAAGGGAATTTGTTTATTGTGATTCAAACATTACCAAGTAGCCTCACTTTGAAAACTAGAGAACACATGGGTTTCACAGTTGATTATATCAGGAATCTAATTGCAGGAGGGAGCTTTCCAGATGGCAGAATAGAAGAAGTTCCTTTCCTGGCTGCTCCATGGCATGAAACCAAGAAAGGCATCTTCTCTGCAAGGTGGATGGATATAAAGAGGGTAAATAACTGGGAATTCATACTGTGGTCAAACAATGGGAACTATGGGAGTTGGATGCAATAAAATAAGGAAGAAATCCCCAGTGCCAGCCAAGCAAAGTGGAAAGGTGGTGACATTAAAAGAACCCATATTTTTTGTAGACCTGTGACATGTCTGGGTACAGAGAGATCAGAGGCCAGTCACTGGGGACTAACGTGACAGGCATGCTGAACCACATCCTAGTGCCAACAAGGAGCCATCTTTCAGCTGTGCTATGGGGGAGGGCAGTTGGGGGAACTGATCTCAGGCAGACCCAACTTGGGCCTAGGATTCAGGCTGGCAAACCTAGAACACATGACAAAGAGTGCCTAAGTGACCAGGAGAAAATCAGATGTGGAGAGGGGTTTACACAGAGTAATATAGGTCATGGAACACCCACCCTGCGCCCCTCACGCCCCAGCCCAGCTCCCTCCACATTTGATTCCAGCAGCTCACAGGACTGCTGGGAGAGACTCACCTGGCTGGGAATTTGAAAGGGCAGGAGTGGGCATACTTTGCTTTGGAGACTGAATCTTAGAGACCAGAAAGCACGGGATCAGTGGGTGATGGAGGGGACAAAGGATTGGCTCCTTAGCCACATGAGAGGAACTGAGGGGAGGTACCTGGGCTGCAATCAACCATTATGAACTAGCAACTGCTGGGCCTGGAGGTGTGCTGATTTAAAATCTTCAGATCAATCGCCATCTGAAAATGAACATGGAGTCCACCTCAGCCTGCTCCCCACCTCCAGAATCTCCACCTTTGGGATCTCTCTCACATCCAGCCCAGCCCATCCAATACTGCTGAGAAGGGAAGCCAAGAATTCTTTGAACTCCAAAGGAAATAATTCTTTAACTTTTCACTGAAATCTTATTTCTGTTTATTGTGACCTGAGTGGTTCATGGACACTTATACATATGCATCATTGTCACTTTTTCTCATTTCTGAGATTTTTGAAGGCAGTTATTTTTTATGGCTCAGCATCTTGAGGGCTAGGATTAGAATATTTCAGATTTGTTTTCTCTTGTTTTAGGTTTTTTATTTTTATTTTACATGTGTTCTCTTACTTTTCTGTTTCCTTTGAGTCTTTTTTTTTTTTTACTTCTATGTTCTCTCCTCCCTCACACTCATCCCATGCTACATCTCTTCCATTCTCTCCCTGTTCATCATTCAAACTTGTGAATATCTTGGTTCTGTAATTTTCCTGACATTCTGTTTATATCAGCAGACATGTAGACTTCTTTGATGATAAGAAAATTTCTGTTTGATAAGAGACCTTTCCTTTCCCCTGAGAATATTTATGAGAATTTTTTTCTTAAAAGGGAGCTTTGGGTAAACTAAGGAATGTACTTTTATAATGGACTAAAAGTCTTTAACAGAGTGGATATAGATGCAATTGTGAGCAATAATCAATCTTTCCAGGGTCTTTGCAGTTGTTATTCAGTTGAGATGAGATCAAACTGAATTACAATTGACCTTCAACCCAAAGATTGGTGTCCTTGTAAGAAAAGATGATACATAGAAAGTCTCAGAGAGAAGCCAGAGAAAGCCAACACAGTACCACTCCAAGGAACCCCACTAACTACTGTCATCACCAGAAGCTAGGAGGGAGGCATGGACAGGTTCTCCCTTGGGACAGACAGAAAGAACCAATGCTGCCTGGTGTGTGGTTCTGTGCTCTGGCCACTGAGCTTCGAGGAAAATAAACATGTGGTTTTGAGCCACTTGGTTCTGGTCACCTGTATGTGGGTTCTAGGAAACCAGTACAACACTGTTTCAATCAGTGATGGAAGTTTGTAACACAGGAGGTACTTTTATGAGTCAACTTGACTAGGTTAAGGAATGCCCAGATAGTTGGCAAAGCATAGTTTGTGTGTGTCTGTGAGGATGTTTCTGGAAGAGATTAGCATTTGAATCAGTAGAATAAATAAAAATGTTCTCCCTCGTCAATGTGGCCTGGGATCATACAGTCCATGGAGGGTCAGCCCAGAGAGCATACAAGGAGATGGAAGGGCAGATTTCATTTCTATTCTTGGGCTGGGGCTGCAGTTTTCTCTTGTCTTCAGACTTCAAATATCCTGGTTCTGTGGCCTTGAGCTCTGGGACTTGTGCCCTGTGGCTACCCACACTGCCCCTGGTTTGGGATTTAGGACCCAGATTGAATTATACCAAAGCTTTCCTCTTGCTGCATATTACACATGAGAAGGACTCCCAGCTTCCAAAATTGAGGGAATTATTTGCCATACCATATCTACTCTTATTTATACTCCTCATCCGTCTCTCATACTGTTTCTATTTATCTGGAGAATTCTAATATACCTAACACCCTGATTTTTCATCCTGTATATCCCATGTTTCTTTTATTTCTTTCTCCAGATCTTTAAATTTTTTTCATTAAAATATCATTTTTTGGCATTTTATTTTCTCTCTGTTTTTCACCTAAAATTTCTTATTGTGTATGTATAAGTGATTGCCTGAAAGATAATAAATTGACCCCTTATCAGAGTCTACCTACAATAAATATTTGTATATAATATATGAACTTATATATGTAGCATTTCACATTTAATTGACCCCTTATCAGAGTCTACCTACAATAAATATTTGTATATAATATATGAACTTATATATGTAGCATTTCACATTTAATGAGGTTTTTGTTTTGTTTTTGTTTTTTTGCAGTGCTGGGGATCCTACCCAGGGCGTTGAGCATGCACAGCAAGCACTCTACCAACTGAGCTACATTCCCAACCCTCACATATAATGAATAAACCAGTTGCACCATCTGTCAGAATAGTCAGGGCCTCACCAACCACATGTGACTTCTCTTGGAAGCATCAGGAATATTTCCATCTCCAGCGACCCTCCTTTTTGCAGAATATGCACTAGTTGGCTTCTTGCTTTTCTGTAGTACTCTAAATCTCCCTGATCAGCAGATCACATAACTCACTAGAGTTATAGGGTCCAGAGAGGGTTCCTGTTATTCCCTGAGTTCCAGTTGACTTTAAAGGGCAGTGGCCAAAATATTGGCTGAATTTTACAGTTACTCCTTTTATTTAATTAAGGTCAGTATTAGTACTGGAAGTCAGCATTATATACAATATGTCCTGTAGGTGATGGCTTATTATATCAAACCCAGGTGGGTTTTTAGAAGCAGCACTTCTGCAAAACACTATCAGGCAACAGTTCGCAAGGAAAATACAAGATGAAATTAACAGCAAGAACATACTTTGTGTAATAGCTATGAACCAAGAAAAATTATTTTCATGATCTTGAACCTTTACTAGTTATACATTATATCCTCTATTTGAGATCACAGTAATCTTTATAACAAAAATCAATCGTTTGAATACAACTTTAAATGAGTTGAAGTCTAGCCTATGTTGGAGCCAATTTAACATGGAGTAAGGTGGGAGGCAGAGCTTTATCTCAGGTAAGGAAGGGCTCTTTATAAATAATAGAACATTACATCTGACATGAATCAAAGGCTAAGAGCTTTTAACTTTCTTTTGTGGGGGAAAAAATGGCAGGAGGGTCTCATTAGCTTCCAAAAATACATTTAAATTCCAATTCCCATGTGAAGAGTAACACAGAATTGTACATGTAACTTGTGGAGAACAGGTTACTTTATTCAGTTATAAGCCATGAAATGACATGAATAAATACCTACCAAGTTTGTTATTTCTAAACAAATCCAAAACTTTAATTACACATAATTTTAGTTTGGAGGACACCAACTTGGGATAATGTTTTCCTAAGCTGTACATTTAACTAACTTTAACTTTTAAAATACAATTTAGAGTCCAGCTTGTGTGGTAACAATAATCACAGATATGCATAGATTAACAAAAGTCAAAGAACAGCCTTCAATCTCCTATACATTTAGGAAACAGTGCTAATGATCAGAAATTGGTTTCATCAAATCAAGCAGGTAAAAGACAGGTTTTTAAATGACACTGTGGTCTTTTATGGCCATATATAAAAGAGAGTACTTATTATCTTTTGAGTAAACTTACATAAACTTTCATTTTATAAACTTCTATATAGCACTTAGGCAAGGATTAGACAGATATACTTCTCAGATGCATACATATACCTAATCACATATTTTGCATGTCAACAATATTATTATAACCTAAGTAACAGTTGTTTGTCGAACAAGTTACAAAGTAATCATTTAAGACTTTAAAACGGGAACACACCTCCATTCCTAAGACTTAGTTTCCCCAAGTAATAAAACCTTACATATAGAAGAAAATAATTTTGATAAAATCAGATCAATGTTTCAGACTTTGCTACATATCAGTATATTAAAATTCAATTTACTCATAATCTCTGAAATTTACCTTTAACCACACAAACTCTTATTGCTTACTTGGACAAATCACAACTTTTACCATGCAAAGACTTTCTTGCCCAGAAACATTTTCTTTTTCTATCTACTAAATATTTCCATACCTAGAACCTTTTGATATCTCTTTCAGTTTGGGATCCTTCCTTAAATTTATATTCTGAAACAGTTTTTAATGCATTTAATTTACACAACAAATTTCATCAGACAATAATGGGATACTATTGTAGCAAGAACTGCTTTTGCCCCATGGTGAATACCCTTGGCCAAATGGGGTGTCCTGTCCGATCTTAAAAGAGGAGACCATTCCTATCCCCAGGTTATAAACTAAGGTGCTGAAACCTACTGCCACATTCTCCGTCCCCACCAGGCTCCAACCACCAGGGGCAGAAGGAGCTGGAGCAGGGATGGCCATCTTGGCTTGGGCTGTTATTTTACAGCCCAGAGAGCTTCCCGCCCCCAGTTAGAGCTGGTGTCCCGCACTCTGCACCCAGAGGCAGTGCCTTTGGGCACCTTAACCTGGTTCCCCTTGGTAAAGATCTCTTTCCAAACCCTAGAGCAGCTTTTGCGGCCTCACTGAGGGGACAGTTCATTCTGGGGGTCCCTAGGTTAAGAAGAAGCTCATGTGGCTCGCTGAGACAGGTTAAAGAGTTTCACCTAGACCATGACTTGAGGAGAAGAGACCAGTCCCTGGGCACCCAGGTGGGCGCGCGCCCCGTCCCCAGGTGGGCGCCTCCAATGGCGCTGCCGTCGGGCGGTCGGCGGAGGGGCCGCCTGTCCCTCTCCACCCTGGGCCGTGCCCTGACCCTCGCGCAGGGAGGTGGCCATGTCCGAGCCAGAGGGGCGACCCAGGCGCCGCTGATGGGACCAGCAATCCCCGTCCTGGGGAAGGAGGGTCAGTTGGGAAATCCGCGGACGAGCGAGAGGACAAATAACGGACAAACTCAGAGGACAGGATTTATATGGACAGGGGACAAAACTAACGAGAGACAAGACGTAGGGGAGTGGACAGTAGGAACCATCAGCGTGACCTCACCCCCAGGAAGGGTCGGCCGCCAGGGGGGGGCAGGTTCTGGTGGGCTCCCGTCCCCACCAAACCAAAGTGAGCCAGGGGACAGTCCTGCCCTCCCTCCCCCGGAACAAATAACGACCAGATGGAAACAGTGCCAAGGAGACCTTCAGGCGAAGTGTCCTCCCAGAACACACTCAGTCATCCCTGCGACCATATAACGAGTCCTGCGGCCAGTCAAGCCCAGGACCCAAACCACATCTCCCAAGAGAGAATCAGGAAACCGAAATCCTCCACCGCTGGCCTCCCAAGACGATACCAGAGGACTCATGTGGCAGATGACCCTGTGGTCAATGATGGACCTCAGGTCACTGACAACGAGGCGCATGGCCCGGGTGTGCAGTAGTGTGCCCTCTGTGTGTCGGCTCACTCCACCACGTGAGGAAAGGGACAAAGCCACTGAAGTGTGTTTCCCAGGATGTCCACCCATCGCTCCCTTAGGGGCCATCATACATGGCCACACCTGTTATAGTGGAACATAGAGCTGATCTGTACTTTTCACTTCCCAAATTTACCAGAGCTCTTCATTTTAATTTATCTTTTACAAGCACCAACATTTGAGCTGCTGACACTCTCTGCATATATGTGCATTTTCAATATCTTCAAATGTTGCTCTTTTACTAAGGATATTCTTTCATCTCCTTTTCATAAAAATTTTACTTCTTCAAACTATTGAGATTGATAATTAGCTATTGAATACCGAGTCTCTTTCACTATTTAAGGCTTTTTAAAAAATATTTATTTTTTAGTTGTAGTTGGACACAATATCTTTATTTAATTTTTATGTGATGCTGATCTCAGCTTTAGATGCCTTCGCCTGGTGTTTTAGCTCTATTGTGGTGTGATTGATGCATAGTAACCTGTCTATATTTAAGGTACCTGCAATTCCTTTCTTCATCTTTACACATCCATGAGACCAGCACTGCAATAAACATGATGAATATATCCACACCCCTAAAATGTCCCTTAGTACCCTTTTAAAATCCCTTTCCCACTCTTCCCCACTACCTTTTATTAAATTCAATCTTACTGAGCAAAACAAAACCAAGACAAATGTCACAATTATATAGATCAATGATCGCAAAGAGAAACACCTTGTAATGACCACTACATTAACTACCAGGACATTACTGATGCCCAGACAACCCCCTCTTGTCCCCCTCCTCTCACTGTCCACAGAGTCCTGTTAGTGGAATTGCTACTTTTCTAACTAGAACTGTTAGTGTTCTGCAAAACAAAAGAATCAGAAGTATGCCTATTTCTTTATTAAATTATACAATATGGGGAGTTAAAGGGGACAGCTGTGGGCTGGTCCATTGCTGTCTAAGGGAGGGGTCTGAGAGATCTGAGGACAAATCAGGAAAGGGATGGGCTAGGGTACTAGGCTGGGAGTGCAGAGTACAGACAGGAGGGGCTACTCAAGAAGAACAAAGGCCTGTGGTCTAGGTGGGGTCGGGAGGATGAGCCCGGGAAGAGAGGAGAGGCGGGGCCAGCTGGGCACTGGGATGGCAGGTTTGAGGGTCACAGTGGCAGATAAGGGTGGGGACAGTGTCCAGGGAGGCCGAGTGAGGCTGGGGAGAAGGAGAAAGTGGAGCTCTGGAGCCAGAAGAGAGAGCCAGGAGAAGTTCCCACTGTCAAGTGTCCCCACCCCCAGTCCCTGGGGGCTTCCTGCCCCCAGCCCTTCGCCTGGGGCTCACGCTGCCACCCCATTTCCTGTCTTCTGCAGGGACCCCCTAGTCCCCTTCTGGAGCAGCTCTCTTGGCACAGCCCCTGTCACCCTTATCTTCCTCCCCCCCTGTGTCCCCTGCTCCTGCTCCCACCCACCCTGGGGGATGTCCCCCTGCTCCTCACATTGTCCTCCTCCCCTGCGTCCTCCTCTCCCACCTGGGCCTCTCCAGGTTCTGCATCCAGCCCACCAGTGGCTCCACACTCTTCTCTAATGCCCCGCACGTCCAGCTGGCCAGGGGCCAGGTCCTGGAGGCTAGGCAGGGTGGAGGCAGCCCACCTGAGGTGACAAAGGCAGCGGGGACACTGGCCTTTAGAGCCTTCTCCTGGAATCCTTTGTGCTGCTCTGTTCTGCCTGGGAGTGGAGTTGGCGGTCCCAAAGGTGTGCCTGGGTAGGTGGC